TGTGTGTGTGTGTGTGTGTGAGTGAATCTGTGTGTGTGTGTGTGTGAGAGAGTGAATCTGTGTGTGTGTGTGTGTGAGTGAATCTGTGTGTGTGTGTGTGTGTGTGTGTGGGTGAGTGTGTGAGAGTGAATGTGTGTGTGTGTGTGTGTGAGTGAAAGTGTGTGTGTGTGGGTGAGAGAGGTGAGGGATGATTGTATTGAGATGAAAATGATAAAGCTCTGACCTGTAATGGATCAAACCAGTGTGGGACACAGTCTGGGGGTGGGGGTCTCTGCATCTGCTGAGAGATTTAACCCTTTCAGCTCCTGACAAATCGAGTAGACCAGCCCCTGGTCAAAATGCCAGCTTGGGCAGGCCCTAAGAAATGGGGTTTCAAATGCCTTCTAAATCCTGTAGGGAGAGCTTAAAAGCCATATTTCCGTCACCCACCTGCTCAGAGATGTTAATGTACACCTCCGGGGACTTGAACCCTGGTCTCACAGCCCAGAGGCAGGGACATACTGCAGTACCTTCCAGACTGCAGAGAGTTGAAGATCTGGTTTCACATCATTTACAAGGCGGGGGGCAGGGAAAGGGGACTTTATGGAGGGGTATTCCAGAGTTTTTGGCCCTAGCAATCTGAAGGCACGCTTGCCAATGGCGGAGTGATGGGAATCAAGGGATGGGCACGAGGCTGGGATCAAAGGTGGGGTGTTTGTGGCTGGGAGGGATTAGGATTGAGGTGGGGGGAGTGTAGGGTAGAGGGATTTGAAAGGAAGGAACAAGAATTGCAAAAATACCTTGCAAAAAAAGACACGTGTCGTTTTGGCTCTTGGAGGATTTCCAGCGTTCGACAAAAGGCCGTTCGGCCCATCTGCTTTATTCTAGTGTTCGCGCTCTGCGCCAGTCGAGGAAATGCTGGATAGGTCAGGGCTTTATCCCCTCGGAGGTTGAAGGGTGACCTTATAGATGTTTATAAAACCATGAGGGGCATGAATAAGGTGAATAGCAAAGGTACATGTGTGGAACAAGCTGCCAGAGGAAGTGGTACAATGATAACATTTAAAAGGCATCTGGATGGATAGGAAGGGTTTAGAGGGATATGGGCCAAATGCTGGCAAATGGGTTTAGATTAATTTAGGACATGTGGTCGGCATGGACGAGTTGGACCAAAGGGCCTATTTCTATGCTGTATGTCTCTATGTCTGTATGATTCCACGATTGGTCCGAATGCCAGAAAGTTCCTAAAATTTCTCAAAGGAATGGGGAATCTCAGCATCTGCCAAGCCACGGGATTCTCGTCCAGGGATTCTGGTCGTATCTGCTGCCGCTGGAACCAATTATATTGTAAATACTCCACACCAGTCAGCCAGATGAAAAACTCAAAAGTCTACGTTTGAGAGACAGAGAGGGAGAAACAAAGTTAACGTTTCAACTCCAAGACACATTCGACTCCAAGCGCTAACTCTGTGCCTCTCTCCACAGTCATTGCCCGACCTGCTGACTTTCTCTGGCATTATCTGTCGTCTGTTTCAGATCTTCAGTTGCCATATTTTGCTTTGAATCAAACTGCAGAAACAGTTTTACAAATTTTTAAAATATTTATTCATTTGGATGTGTGTGTCTCTGACTAGGCCCAGTATTTATTGTCCATTCCTAATTACCCACAAGGCAGTTAAGGGTTTGCTGTGGGTCTGGAATCACGTGTGGGCCAGACCAGGTAAGGATGGCAGTTTCCTTCCCTAAAGGACATTAGTGAACCAGATGGGTTTGTCATAGAGTCACACAGCACAGAAACAGACCCTTCGGCCCATCCAGTTCGTGCCGACCATAATCCCAAACTAAACTAGCCCCCACCTGCCTGCTCCTGGCCCCCATCCCTCCAAACCTTTCCTATTCATGTACTTATCCAAATGTCTTTTAAATGTTGAAACTGTATCCACATCCACCACTTCCTCTGGAAGCTCATTCCACATACCAACCACTCTCTGGTTAAAAAAAAAATTGCCCCTCATGTCTTTTTAAAATCTTTCTCCTCTCACCTTAAAAATATGGCCCCTAGTCTTGAAATCCCCCACCCTAGGGAAAAAAAACACCTGCCATTCACCTTGTCTATACCCCTCATTGTTTTATAAACCTCTATAAGGTCAACCCTCACCCCTCCTACGCTCCAGTGAAAAAAGTCCCAGCCTATCCAACCTCTCCTTATAACACAAATCCTCCATACCCGGTAACATCCTGGTAAATCTCTTCTGAACCCTTTCCAGTTTAATAATGTCCTTCCTATAACAGGGTGACCAGAACTGGACACGGTGCTCCAGAAGAGGCCTCACCAACGTCCTGTACAACCTCAACATGACGTCCCAACTCCTATACTCAAAGGTTTGAGCAATGAAGGCAAGCGTGCTAAATGCCTTCTTAACCTCCCTGTCTACCTGTGAGGCAAACTTCAAAGAATTATGTACCTGAACCCCTAGGTCTCTCTGTTCTACAGCACTACACAGGGCCCTACTTGTGTAAGTCCTGCCCTTGATTGTTTTTCCAAAATACAATACCTTGCATTTATCCAAATTAAATTCCGTTTGCCAGTCACATTTCCTTGCAATGATTAATGTCACCATTAAACTGTCAATTCTAAATTTGTTGGAAAAAAAAGCAATTAAACCATCTGCCATGGATGGGCTTAAACCGCTGCCTCCAGAACATTACCTTAGTCGCTAGGTTAATAGCCCAGCAATAACACCACTAGGCTATCACCTCCCTGCCCAGCTGAGGAGAATGCACATTTTGTGACTGTGCGCTTTCTTGCCTTCATAAACAAATATACCTTTGGAAAAGGAGGAGCCAGAAGAACTAAGAGGGTTTTATTTTTAATTTCGTGTCGGGGATGGGGAGTAAGCAAATATTTACTTTTCATTTCTAACAACTCGGAAAGGTTTCACAATCGGGACACCTTTCACCTGTTTGATACATGGTTTAACAGGTACGTGTCAGATTGTCGACGTGCACTTTAAGAGACTGAGGACAAACCGTGAATTGGCAGGAGGTGTCACGAGCTTCTAACACACAGGAAATTGGGCTTTCAGATTCAACATATCCGTGTTCTGGCCGGCTACTGTAGGAATTTGCTTGTGACTCAGGAGGTTCAGCCCTCTGGTACCTGAGTTGGATGGTTGTGAGTTTAAGTCCTACTGTAGGGTCTTGAGTTACGGTCAAACTCCCCCCAAGTGGGGGAATGCTGTGCTGTTGCAGTCCTACAGATAAAGCATTAGCCTGGAATCTTACTGTTGGATGTTATCGATGCAGAGAGGGTGGTTAAGAAGGCATTTTAGCCTTCATTGCTCAGATCTTTGAGTATAGGAGTTGGGACATCATGTTGAGGTTGTACAGGATGTTGGTGAGGCCTCTTTTGCAGCACTGTGTCCAATTCTGGTCGTCCTCTTACAGAAAGGGTATTATTAAACTGGAGAGGGTTCAGAAAAGATTTACCAGGATGTTACTGGGACTGAAGCGTTTGAGTTATAAGGATCGGCTGGGACTTTTTTCACTGGGCCAGCATTTATTTCCCATCCCTAATTGCCCCGAGGGCAGTTGAGAGTCAACCACTTTGCTATGGGTCTGGAGTCACATGTAGGCTAGACCAGGTAAGGATGGCAGTTTCCTCCCCTCAAACTGCATCAGCGATCCAGATTTTTACCCTCCCCTCCCCCCGACAATTGGTTTCACATTCCTTGTGAGACTCTTAATTCCAGATTATTACTGAACTCAAATTCCACCATCAGCCGAGGTGGGATTTGAATTCTAGTCTCGGGGGTGCTGTCTACATTAATAGTCTGGGGGGAACGATGCCACTGGTCCTTCGCCTCCCCGTTGCATTGTGACGTTGCTAGTGGCAACTCGCTACACCCAAGAGAGAAGGTACTACATTGCAATGGATGTGAAGGCACTACGTCGATGCAATTTCCCGGATTGCAGTAAATAGTGGCGCCAGCTCTGGTTTTCGGATTTAACTGAGAGACTGTTTCTTGTGTAAGCTTTTCACAAACACACACACACATTCTCTCTCTCTGTTTGCTTTAGGAAGCCAAGGTTACTGCAATGGTGCACGCTCAGTGTGCTGTGGATGACCATAGTGATCCTCATGGCGATCGGACTAGCAATCCAGACGTTGGGAATCGCGGATAAGAAAAGGTGACTCTCCCGTCTCGCTCCAATGTGGTGCGGAGGTTCAGATCTAAAATCTGCTGAAAGGAGAAATGTTCTGTCGAAGTTTGCTGTCATCAGGACCAACTGCTGAGTGCCAAATCTCCAGCAACCGCTGCAGGGAGAGAAAGGCCGTTTGAAATGTGGCATTCTTGCATTAGTCCTGATGAAAAGCTTGGGCCTAAGTTTAAGTCCTTGAGTGGCAAGTGACTGTTAGCATCTAAATACTGCAAGTGGAACATTAACGTGTGTGAACGGGCCTCAGGGGGGAAAGAGATAACTTCCGCGTAGCCACTCCCTAGCAGTGTGGCAGCAAATCGTTGACAGAGAGAAACTATTTAGTTTGGTTGAGGTAGAGTGCCCAGAAGAAAGGGCAAAACTTTGACGTCAAGCCCAGTTACTCAGTCATTTATCTAAATGATTTGAATGGGAACGTAGGAGGGATGGTTAGTAAGTTTGCAGATGACACCAAAATTGGAGGTGTAGGGGACAGCGAAGGAGGTTACCTCAGAGTACAACAGGATCTTGATCAGATGGGCCGAGGAGTGGCAGATGGAGTTTAATTTAGATAAATGTGAGGTGCTGCATTTTGGAAAGGCAAATCAGGGCAGGACTAATACACTTAATGGTAAGGTCCTGGGGAGTGTTGCTGAACAAAGAGACCTTGGGGTATAGGTTCATACTTCCTTGAAAGTGGAGTCCCAGGTAGACAGGGCGGTGAAGAAGGTGTTTGGTATACTTGCCTTTATGGGTCAGTGCATTGAGTATAGAACACAGAATATAGAACATAGAACATTACAATGCAGTACAGGCCCTTCGGCCCTCGATGTTGCGCCGACCTGTGAAACCAATCTGAAGCCCATCTGACCTGCACTATTCCATTATCATCCATAGGAGTTGGGAGGGTCATGTTGCAGCTGTACAGGACATTGGTTAGACCACTATTGGAATACTGTGTTCAATTCTGGTCTCCCTGCTATAGGAAGGATGTTGTGAAACTCGAAAGGGTTCAGAAAAGATTTGTAAAGATGTTGCCGGGGTTGGAAGGTTTGAGCTTTAGGGAGAGGGTGAATAGGCTGGGGCTATTTTCCCTGGAGTGTCGGAGTCTGAGGGGAGACAGTATAGAGGTTTATAAAATCATGAGGGGCATGGAGAGGGTGAATAACGAAGGTCTTTTCCCCAGGGTAGGGGAGGCCAAAACTAGAGGGGCATAGGTTTAAGGTGAGAGGGGAAAGATTTAAAAGGGACCTGAGGGGCAACTTTTTCACACAGAGGGTGGTGTGTGTATGGAATGAGCTGCCAGAGGAAGTGGTGGAGGCTGGTACAATTACAACATTTAAAAGGCATCTGGATGGGTACATGAATAGGAAGGGTTGAGCGGGATATGGGCCAAATGCTGGCAAATGGGACTGGATTAATTTCGGATATCTGGTTGGCATGGACGAGTTGGGCCGAAGGGTCTGTTTCCGCTGTACATCTCTATGGCTCTGTGACTGCATGACTCTATGCTTAACTAACTACCTTCTAGCGGGAGATAGGATTAACATAGTAATATCACTGGCTTAGCCATGAGACTAAAGCCTGGGGAACAATATGGCAGCGTTTTGGAAATTAAACTCAATTAGTAGATCCAGAAAATAAAGCTATGGCAACTTTTGGTATAAAACCCAGAGAGTCATGCATTACAGAAAAGGTCCTTCGGCCCATTGAGACTATACTGATATAGCTGAACGAAACCTCCTTTCCCCAAGGTGGCCCATGACAGGACATTTCGAGCACCCACCTGTGTACTTTTAAAGCCTCTAAGGTTTGCTACCCCCAAGAGCCTCTGGGATTGTGGGTGCTCAGTTACTCAGTTGGCTGGATGACTGGGGTGTCAAGTGATGCCAACAGTATGGGTTCGATTCCCGCACCAGCAGAAGTTGAAGGACTGTCCCTCACGACCTCTCCCATCGCCTGAGACATGGTGACCCTCAGGTTAAGCCATCAACGGTGGACGTGTTGCTCCTATTAGGGCCATAGCCCGCTGTGGTGCAGTAACACTGTAGCTGCCTTACTTTTGGGGGCAGTTTTGAATTAGCTCAGTTGGCTGATTAGTGATGCAGACTGACGCCAACAACATGGAGGGAATGGAAATCTCCTGTTCTGGCCTCCATGTGACTCCAGCCCCACAGCCAATGAGGGTTGACTCTTAACTATCCTCTGAAATGGCCCCAGTGAGATAAGGGGTAATTAGGGACGGCCTTGTTCAGCAATGTTCCCATCCCACGGCTCAGTGGTTAGCACTGTTGCCCCACACAGCGCCAGGGACCCGGGTTCGATTCCCAGCCTTGGGCGACTGTCTGTGTGGAGTTTACACGTTTTCCCTGTGTCCGCGTGGGTTTCCTCCCACAGTCTAAAGATGTGCAGGTTAGGGTGGTTTGGCCATGCTAAATTGTCCCATAGTGTCCAGGGATGTGCGGGTTAGTGTGGATTGGCCGTGCTAAATTGTCCCATAGTGCCCAGGGATGTGCGGGTTAGGGTGGGTTGGCCATGCTAAATTGTCCCATAGTGTCCAGGGATGTGCGGGTTAGGGTGGATTGGCCGTGCTAAATTGTCCTACAGTGCCCAGGGATGTGCAGGTTAGGGTGGGTTGGCCGTGCTAAATTGTCCCATAGTGTCCCAGGGATGTGCAGGTTAGGGTGGATTGGCCGTGCTAAATTGTCCCGTAGTGCACAGGGATTTGTAGGTTAGGGTGGATTGGCCGTGGGAAATGCAAGGATATGGGGAGGGATGCTCTTCAGAGGGGCAGCGTGGACCCAATGGGTCGAATGGCTGTAGGGATTCCATGAAACCCCTCATTGCAAATCCTCATTGGCCGAGTTTCTGAGGATGACATCACATGACCGATTATCGCTTGACACCTCACTTGGTCGATCAGGTGTTTTTCTTTCAACGCCTGTTGCTTCGGCAATAACAGAAACCGAGCAGAACTGCCCAGTTCTGTAATGCACCGACGATTTATTTCTGTTTATTTGCCAAAAGTCACACACAGAAGGTAAATCTTTAATCCTGGGAGACGCCAGGACATTGCTGGAGGATTGGCAAAGCTGCTCACTCTGCTGTTTGCCGGTTGGGATCCAAAGATCTCTTCTCCTGTGGGATTGCTACCAAGAGTGGGAATACAAAGCATTTACTTTTTCTACAGAGATCAGGTTGTGTTTTAGTGATGTGGCTGAGTGGGAGACCTGTCGGTGTTGGGGGCGGGGACGGGGTTGAGGAACGGGGAGGGAGGAGACAGAAGGTGGGGGAAGGCGAGAGAGAGGAGGGGAAGGGGAAAGTTAGTCGTGGAGTTAGGGGTAGGGAGATGGAGGCAAATAGCCGAGATCTTTTGACCTTTCAGAGAGTTCGGAAAAGATTGACAAGAATGCTGGAGGGTTTGAGCTACAGGGAGAGGCCGGGGCTATTTACCCTGGACCAGCAAATGCCCCGGAAGGGCAAAATGTGGCAGCACAGGCTTGAAGGGCCGAAGGGTCTGTTCCTGTGCTGTATTGTTTTTTCTTCTTTGTCGGAGGCTGAGGGATGACCTTAAGAGAGGTTTATAAAATCATGAGGGGCATGGATAGGGTGAATAGCCAGTGTCTTTTCCCCAGGGTAGAGGAATGCAAAACTAGAGGGCCATAGGTTTATGGTGAGAGGGGAAAGATTTAAAAGGGACTGTTTTCCACGCAGAGGGTGGTGTGTGTATGGAATGAGCTGCCAGAGGAAGTGGTGGAGGCTGGTACAATTACAACATTTAAAGGCATCTGGATGGGTACATGAATAGGAAGGGTTTAGAGGGATATGGGCCAAATGCTGGCAAATGGGACTAGATTAATTTCGGACATCTGTTCCTATTTCCCACGTTTGTATTGTCATAGCGAATATATTAGCAATGTAGAGTGCCCCTCAAAACCCATCTGGTTGACTAATACCCTCTTCGGGAAGGGAATCTGCCATCCTTACCCGGTCTGGCCTACACGTGACTCCAGACCCAAACAGGGATGTGCTCGACTCTTAACTACCCTCAGAGATGTTCCCAGAGGGAAAACAGATCAGGAACCGTTCAATATTGGTAGCAAATGCTGGTCATTCCAGCAAGGGCCACATTCCATGAAAGAAAATTCCCTACTTTCCTCTCTGCCTTCCGCCCCACCCCACCCCACACCCATCGAGAATTCCAAAAGCTAACAATGCCCTAATTCCTCTTCATTTCCATTTTCAACGGGAGACCCCCTCACTCTAAACACAGGGGCTCAAGTAGGCCATTCGGCCCATCAAGTCTGCTCTGCCCTTCGATGAGGTCATCACTTGATCTGATAATCTTCGATTTCACCTTCCTGTCTTTCCACCTTCCTAGTTAAAAATCACAGTCCAAAGATGTGCGGGTTTGGGTGGATTGGCCGTGCTAAATAGCCCCATAGTGTC